ATTTCTGTTAATATACAATAATATATAAAGATTGAATTGAAATCGATTTGTGAATTTGATTTAAGATGAAAATTAAAGTAAACATTTACAAATTGAAAAGGAATTCTGCTGGCTTTAGGAACCAGAGGAAGAAGCAGAGCAGTGAGGAGAGAGAAGTGTCAGATATCTTTCTCTCATCCAGCTCTTGCTCTGATGATGATGATGAGAAGAAGACTCCTCAGAAAATGATTATGTCAGATAATCTGCTGGAGCCTGAGAAGGAGAAGAGATCCCAGAGGAAGACTAAGAAAGTGGATACTTTCACTAATGTAAGTACCTATTTATTTACTATTTAATTAAATCAACTCCTTAGATTTTTTTATATATATTTATGATACTTTATGTCATCTAATTGTGATTTATCTTTCAGTTATCCAGCTCTTCCTCTGATGGTGATACCAGTTCCTCTGAAGATGAGTACATGGATTCTTCAATCAACTCCAGATGCAAGATGAAGATAGCCGGGAGGAGTAAGGAGAGTTCTGATGAGGATAGCTTGAGGGGACTGATTGGTGGGAGACCTGATGATTTAGAGAACCTGGGATACTCTAGTGATGATGAGAAAGCTGAGTCTTCCAGTTCTAGTCTTGAGGATGATGAGCCTGTTCCGGAAGAGAATCTGAAGAAGGCAAGAATGACTGAGATGGAGTGTGAGAAGCAGCCGAGAATGGCCAGAGAAGCAAAGATTGAGCTGGAGAAGAAGAACAGACTCCAGAAGAAGGTGGGAAAGAAGAGTAGGCCTGCTGCTGAACGTAGAGTTGGGAGACAGATGTCTTCTGAGAATGCTGCAACTCCCACCCTCTGCCCTGTGCCTATGTGTACCAAAGGATTTGAGAACAGGGCCAATGTTAGACGCCACATGGTGAAGGTGCAAAAGCTCTCCAAGGCTGACATGGCTGGCTTCAAGATTGTCCTGGTGTCAACAAAGTGCCCCCATTGTGATACACCTCAAACCAACCTCTCCCGCCATCTCAAGGAGAGCAGGTGCAAGTGTAAGAGAGCTGAGGACAGTCTAAGAGTGGATCCAGTTGGAGAAAGGAATGACCAGGAACCCTTTGAACCCCAGATGGAAGACTTAGTCAAGAAAAAGGGTTCTAGAGTGCTGCTTAAGAAGATGAAAGCCTACATGGACAAGCAGTCTAGCTATGCTCTGAACACCAGGAGAGTGTACTTTGGCAGGATAAGGCATATGCTGAGCTGGATGGAGGCCAACGAGCTGAACTTTGTTGGTAACAGACTGCTGTTCCCCTTGGAGTGCAAGGTCTTTCTTCCCAGTGTGTCAAGGTATTTGGACACAGTTGTTCCTATGAGCAAGCCAACTGCCATCAAAGGGTACCTCTGCCTGTGCTCTTTTATCCAGGACAGATGTGATTTCCTGTACAGTTCTGATCCTTCTGTGAACCCTGGTGACAAGAATGCCTTTGATCTCAGCCTTGCAACTTCCAAGAGCAGGGCCTCTGACCTGCAAAGTGCCATCAACCACTTGAACTCCAGGAAAACTCAGGAGAACAAGGAAGCAGCTGCACAGAATCCCTACAACCTGGAGTTTAATCCTGGCAGAGTAGCAGAACTGGCAAGAGTGCTGACCAACCATGTCAAAGTAAGATCTTGGATTGACACCATCAGGAAGGAAGATCCAGCCACTCTGTACTGCACCTGGGATGAGTGCACTATGAGGAACTTCTTGCTTGGGATGGTGATTGTGTTTGCAACTGGCACCAGACCATCAGCACCCACCAGATGCACGGTGAAAGAGTTCAAAGCTGCCACCTGTGAGGCTGGTCTGTGGGTAGTCAAGACTGTCAACACCAAGACACTCAAGAGTCATGGGCCAGCTCAGATGTGCTTTATGTATTAAGGCTTGTACGAGGCATGCCAGAAGTACATGGACACCTTCAAGTAGAACCTGTTTCATGATGAGCACCTGTTCAAGAACAGTGGTAAGGGGGATGCCAGAACCAGAGACTGCATGACTGTCCTCCTGGAGAACTTTCTTGGAGAAGTTATCCACAAGAAGGAGATCAAGTACTTCACTCCAAAGATCTGGAGACATGCATGGGCCAACTGGAGTATTGATCACCCTGATCCAGAGGTAGCCAAGCATGGAGAAAGGACAATGGCCCACAGTGCAGCCACCAGAGATGCCAACTATGCAGTCCGCAGGGAGGACTACACCAGGAACTTTGGCAGAAAGGTGATGGACCATATGCTACATGGAATGGTCACATCCACAGCTCCAGCACCAGGCTCCCCAACAGCAACTTTAGCAACTGTTTCCCCACCAACACCTCCAGCACCTGGCTCCCATCCAACTGCTCCACCACCACCCCCTGCACCTCTACCAGCACCACCAGCACCACTACCACCACCAGCACCTCTACCAAGACCACCTCCAGTTCAGCAGGTGCAGAAACAGGCTATCAGAAAGGGAGCAGCCTTGTCCAGCTATGAACGAGAGATTGTAAGGAGTACTGTGTCTCCTTACAACTGCACCAACCTTGAGGACTTTCTGGATTTGACAAGGACGAACCGGGCTTTCCGCCTGGTCTGGGAGAGACTGAAGAGAGACAGAGGAACGTGGCCAAGACGATCAGGAAGTGTATGCAGAGCTTGAAGAAGAGTCAAGACAAGAGGGGAGTCTTTTTTCTAATTTATTTTGCTATGGGTAATCAGCAAATAACAAAAGCCTCACCATCGGTTTTTGTTTCATGATTACCCATATACTGAAGTTATCACTTTTGGCATTTTTTTGGAATTTTGGCATATCCAAGCAAAAAGAAAACAACCCAAATTTTGGAGAGCTATATTCTGCAACCTCCTCAATTGGTGCTCTCTGGTAACAAGTATTTTAGACTTGGCTGATAGCAGAATGATAAAATTTTAAAGGGTTGAGACATATTTTAATATTGAATTTCATTGAAAAATCCATTAAGAGTAACTGACACATATTTTAATGCTAATCATTAATTGCTTCAAGAATTGGAAAATAAAACATTTGATTAAGATACAAGGCTGAATAATAGCCTTTCCAAATTTGGTCCTTTTTGGGAAAATGGCTTTAAAGGTACTTCCAATCACCTTATGTTCTTGATTTTTTTAATAAAGTCTTTCAAAGGGTTGATTAAAATAAGTGTGGAGTTTCCAATTGATAGCTAAGACTTGTGTGTGATTAAAAATATAAAAAATCATGTGTTCTACTACTTTTGATTTTACTATTATTTTTTCCACACCCAAAGTCAAAGCTGATGATTGGAAACTCCACCATTATCATTATCACCACTTTGTAATGCCACAAAAAAAAAATCAAGATCCTAAAGTGTTGTGGAGTGTGTTTTAAATCATTTTCCCAAAAAGGACCAAAATTTCATATAGTACTAAGCCTTATATGTAAAATTCATGATTTTATCATTATTTTTTTTCCACACCCAAAGTCAAACCTGATGAGTGGAAACACCTTAATTATTATTATCAACACTTTGTAATGCCACAATAAAAATATAAAGATTGTAAAGTGTTGTGAAGTGTGTCTTAAATCATTTTCCCAAAAAGGACCAAAATTTTATATAGTACTAAGCCTTATATGTAAAATTCATGATTTTACTATTATTTTTTTCCACACCCAAAGTCAAAGCTGATGATTGGAAACTCCTTAATTAACATTATCACCACTTTGTAATGACACAGTAAAAAATCAAGATCCTAAAGTGTTGTGGAGTGTGTCTTAAATCATTTTCCCAAAAAGGACCAAAATTTCTTATAGTACTAAGTCTTATATGTGAAGTTCATTGTTTTTTTTTTTGTTTTTTTCCACACCCAAAGTCAAAGCTGATAATTGGAAACTCCTTAATTATCATTATCACCACTTTGTAATGCCACAATAAAAAAATCTAGATCCTAAAGTGTTGTGGTGTGTGTCATAAATCATTTTCCCAAAAAGGACCAAAATTTCAAATAGTACTAAGCCTTATATGTAAAATTCATGATTTTATCATTATTTTTTTTCCACACCCAAAGTCAAACCTGATGAGTGGAAACACCTTAATTATTATTATCAACACTTTGTAAAGCCACAATAAAAATATAAAGATTGTAAAGTGTTGTGGAGTGTGTCTTAAATCATTTCCCAAAAAGGACCAAAATTTTAAATAGTACTAAGCCTTATATGTAAAGTTCATTGTTTTTACTATTTTTTTTTCCACACCCAAAGTCAAACCTAATGAGTGGAAACACCTTAATTATCATTATCACCACTTTGTAATGACACAGTAAAAAAATCAAGATCCTAAAGTGTTGTGGAGTGTATCTTAAATCATTTACCAAAAAAGGACCAAAATCATGTGTACAAATTTGGTCCTTTTTAGGAAAATGGTTTCCAAGACACTTCCCAACACTTTTATTTCATGATTTTTGGTTTTTGACCAGTATGTTTTGTAGTTATGAGAATTGTGGAGTATTAAAACAATATCACAATAAATAAGGGGGCCGTCAGTAAATGTTCCAAATTACCGGTTTTGACCGAACTCTTCAAAATAGAAGATACACTAATGAATCAAACTTTTTTTGTCTGATTTCAAATTTTCTTTTTGCATTAGTTAGGTATTGAATAGGTTGACCTCCTCCAAAAGAAATTATTGCAAAATCTTAAAAAATGAGGGTGTAATTAGCAAATGTTCCAAATTACCGGTTTTGACCGAAATACTGTAATAATAGAATATACATTAATGAATTGACTATTTTTTGTCCAATTTCAATAATTTTTTTTGCATCATCTAGGTATTGAATAGGTTGACCTCCTCCAAAAGAAATTAGAGCAAAATCTTAAAAAATGAGTGTGTAATTAGGAAATGTTCCAAATTACCGGTTTAGACCGAAATTGATATACCTAGAGCTGAAAATTCTTAAATTTATCTATTTTAGATAACCCAGCCTACTTACTTACTAAGTAATTTTGGATTTTGATCATGCAGCCTAGTACTGTTGAGAAGGAGTCCAGTGGAAGGAGTGTCAGGAGTGGAAGGAGTGGAGAGGAGGTGGAGAGGAGGTGGTGATGGGAAGGAAGAAGGTGGTGATGGAGTTGAAGAAGGTGGCAGCAGAGAGATGGATGGACTGCTGTGAAGGGGACGGAGACTGCTGTTGAGAAGGAGTCTAGTGGAAGAAGTGCCAGGAGTGGAAGGAGTGGAAGGAGTGGAGAGGAGGTGGTGATGGGAAGGAAGAAGGTGGTGGTGGAGTTGAAGAAGGTGAAGGTTACAGCAGCAGAGAAGGAGAAGGCTGAGAAGGAGAAGCAGGACAGGATGTGGAAGGAGCCTTGAGCAGAAGAGGAGAGAGAGGAGAGAGAGGAAGGTGGGGAAGCAGAAGGAGATGGAGAAGCAGCTGGAGGAAGAGGGGAAGGAGTGTGAGAAGCAGAGTGAGCAGTGCAGGAAGGTGTGGAAGATGAGAGTGGCGGCAGAAGAGGATGGATGGACTTGTGTGAAGGGTAGGCGTGTGAGAAGGAGTGAGGAGGAGTTCCCTTCCTTTGAGAAGGAGAAGAAGGAGATGAAGGAGAAGGTGAGGAAGGAGTGCTCTGAGAAGAAGAGGAGAGAGAGGTTGGCTAGGGAGGAGAAGAAGAGAGAGAAGAAGATGGAGAAGATGCTGGAGGAAGAGAAGAAGGAGTTGGAGAAGCAGAGAGTGGAGAAGAAGCAGGAGAAGGTGCAGCTGAAGAGAGAGAAGGAGGAGAGGGGCAGTGAGAGAAGGATGGCTGATGGCTTCAAGCGAGCAAGGAAGCAGAGCAGTGAGGAGAGAGTGGTTGAGAAGATTATGTCAGATAATCTTCTCTTGGAGCCAGAGCAGAAGAGGAGAAGGAGCGGAAGGAGTGGAAGGAGTTCTAAAGGAGGAGAGAGGGTGCAGGGAAGGAAGGTGGAGAGTGCTGCAGAGAACTTGGAGAGGGTGGAGATTGAAGCAGAGAAGTGTAAGTCTGCAAACAAGGTAAGAAGTCAGCTCAGTCAGAAGGTCAAGGTAACTGTTCAGGTGCCTGTTGTAGCTGCTGAGGTCAAGGATCTCAGTTTTGTTTGGCCTGGACTTGGAAGTAAGGTAAGAATTGAATTGGAAGGTGGAAGTGTGCTTGATGAGTTGGAATGTGGCATTGTGGTTGATCAGTTGGATGAGAGTGTGACTGTTTGTAGGAGTATTGTGGATGAGATGATTGAGGGTATTGGTTTGGATTGTCAATTGCTCAATGTTTCTGTTCAGTGTCAGGTGAATGAGAAAATTTTGGTCCTTTTTGGGAAAATGATTTAAAACACACTCCACAACACTTTAGGATCTTGATTTTTTTATTGTGGCATTACAAAGTGGTTATAATGTTAATTAAGGAGTTTCCAATCATCAGCTTTGACTTTGGGTGTGGAAAAAAATAATAATAAAATCAAGAATTTTACATATATGGCTTTGTACTATTTGAAATTTTGGTCCTTTTTGGGAAAATGATTTAAGACACACTCCACAACACTTTACAATCTTGATTTTTTTATTGTGGCATTACAAAGCGGTGATAATGATATTTGTGGAGTTTTCAATTGAAAAATTAGAGTTGGGTGTAAATAAAAATAACAAATCATTGGCTCTACTACTCTAAAAAAATTTGGTCCTTTTTGGGAAAATGGTTTTCAAGACACTTCCCATCACTTTTATTATCTGATTTTTGGTTTTCGACCAGCATGTTTGGTAGTTATGATAATTGTGGAGTATTAATGCAATATCACAATAAATAAGTTGGTGGTCAATAAATGTTCCAAATTACCGGTTTTGACCGAACCCTGTATAAATGGAATCTAAAATAATGAAAAGAACATTTGTTGTCTGATTTCAAATTTTTTTTCTGCATTTGTTAGGTATTAAATAGTTTGACCTCCTCCAAGAGAAATTAGTGCAAAATCCTAAAAATCTAGAGTGTATTTAGCAAATGTTCCAAATTACAGGTTTTGACCGAAATACTGTCATAATAGATTATACACTAATGAATTGAATATTTTATGTGCGATTTCAAAACTTTTTTTTGCATTAGTTAGGTATTTAATAGTTTGATCTCCTCCAAAAGAAATTAGTGCAAAATCTTAAAAATTGAGTGTGTAATTAGCAAATGTTCCAAATTACCGGTTTTGACCGAACCCTTGAAAATAGAAGATACACTAATGAATCCAACTTTTTTATTCGTTTTCAAATTTTCTTTTTGCATTAGTTAGGTATTGAATAGGTTGACCTCCTCAGCCAGCCTACTTACTTACGAATTTTATTTTAGATTCCGATCATGCAGCCTCGTACTGTTGAGAAGGAGTGGAGAGGAGGTGGTGTCCAGTGGAAGGAGTGGATGCAGTGTGGAAGGTGGAGATGGTTGGACGGATGTCAAGAGGAAGAGTGTGAGAAGGAGTCTCTTTGAGAGTGAGTCTGCCTTGAGGGAGGNAAAGCAACACGACAATTTAAATTTAGAGGGGGTGCCCCTACTTCCCCATATGGACTGACCAGCGTGCGCTGCTGCACAAAGGCTGGCGTCAGCGGTGCAAAAGCTCCCTTATTCACAGGAGTTTCTCTTGCAGGAGGCGGTGGGGTCGTCAAGTCAGGGGTATGCAGGAGGGTTGGAACCCAACAACTGGCTGGGGCCTTAGTCTGAAGAAATAGCGTTTATTGACATGAAAATAATTCACATAAAGATTAACATTAACATACCTTTCCTCTCCCTGACACATAGGATGGCTTAAAGAGGAGATGAGTCTTGAGACCAGGACCATTCTGAAGAAATAGTGTTTATTCACATGAAAATAATTCACATAAAGAGTATCATTGACCAACCTTTTCTGTCATGCCTCTGGGAGCTGGGTGAGCAGGAGAACTACAGGTCTCCAAAGCATCCTGAAGAAGTAGTGTTTATTCACATGAAAATAATTCACATAAAGAGTATCAGTGACAAACCTTTTCTGTCATGCCTATAGGAGCTGGGTGACCAGAAGAACTACTGGAGGAACTACCAGGCTTCAAAGCAGTGGGAGGCTTAACCTGAAGAAATAGTGTTTATTCTCATTCGTTATCGGAATTAATCACTCCACCAACTTATAACCATGCACCACCACCCACCAAATTATCATTGACAAACCTGTTCTTCCTCCAGCTGCTTCTCCATCTGCTTCCCCACCTTTCTCTCTCTCCTCTCTCTCCTCTTCTGCTCAAGAAGCTCCTTCCACATCCTGTCCTTCTCCTTCTCAGCCTTCTCCTTCTCTGCTGCTGTAACCTTCACCTTCTTCAAAGCTAGGTGACTAGAAGAACTACCGGAGGAACTACCAGGCTTCAAAGCAGTGGGAAGCTTAACCTGAAGAAATAGTGTTTATTCTCATTCGTTATCGGATTGAAGCACTCCACCAACTTATAACCATGCACCACCAACCACCAAATTATCATTGACATACCTTTGCTGTCATTACTTTCAGCCCGGAGGAACTACCAGAGTTTCCAGTGGGAGGCTTAACCTTTGCAGTCATTGCTTTCTGCGCGGAGGAACTACCAGAGTTTCCAGTGGGAGGCTTAACCTGAAGAAATAGTGTTTATTCTCATTCGTTATCGGATTGAACCACTCCACCAACTTATAACCATGCACCACCAACCACCAAATTATCATTGACAAACCTTTTCTGTCATGCGTATAGGAGCCAGGTGATCAGAAGAACTACTGGAGGAACTACCAGGCTTCAAAACAGTGGGAGGCTTAACCTAAAGAAATAGTGTTTATTCTCATTTGAGATCGGATTGAACCACTCCACCAACTTATAACCATGCACCACCATGCAATAAAGCAATCTATCAATCCTTCTGGTACATACCTTTATTTTCCTTTGAACAAAAGGAGAGAGTATCGGTGAAGGAAGGGTCGGCATGTTGCAGACAGGACTAGGACCCGACACGAGAGGACTCTGAAGAAATCAGTTTATAGAATAATATTATACATGCAAAGTCACATTTAGATATACCTCTGTTTCTTGAGTAGAAATGCACTACTTGCTGATTTCGGGCGCATTTTCTTGGATCTCCCCATTCTTTCTGCAAAATTTTAAATGGTAGCAGTGTGCAAATTCTGGCT